CTAGTGTGGACTCTTGGCTTGGATAGTTAGCTTGCAAGGTAAGCTTTTGTGTCATCGGTTTAGCCATGTTGTGGTTCCACCATGTCCCATAGGGATATGGTTATATGCATGCTGTGTTACATGCTTTTGATGTTTTGAAAATGTTGTTGAGCTGTTATATGCTAGTGTCTTTAAGATATGCATGTGGTGTTCCACTTATACTGTAAGCCTGAGTATGTGGTACATATAATATGGTGAGGCTGTGGGTGAGGTACAAGCGATGTTCCTTGTACTATCTGTAGGGGATAGACGTATACTTATTCCTGCATTTCTCTGGCCAGTAGAATAGTATCAACACACATGTCATGAATATCTGTTGCACTGCATAGTTTTGAGAACTTATACTGATGTCAATGCTTTTAGAACTTATATTGCACATGTAAGTGAGCTTGGGGTGGAAGATCCTTGAGGACCCCTTGTCTTACTGAGATTTCTAGTTTAGAGATCTCACCCCACGTTTGGGACGCTTATTTCAGGTTCAGGTAATGTTGAGACCTCAGGCGGTAGGAGGCCGGAGCTGAGTTAGATTTGCTGTTATTTATGCTGATATGTTGGATGCTGGATTTGCATGCTGATTATATGTTTATAGCTTCAGTTTATGTTTATGGAGTGTTATGTTGAAACTTGTTGTTTACGCTGTTTATTTGGTGAGCATGGGGATTGTCCATGACACCTAGTATTGTTTATGTCTTGAGTCTGTTGGGAGTTGTAATAATGTATCAGGATATTGTCCGGATTACGAGATGTAATGTCGTGATTTAGATACACACTTTATTTATATAATGAGAAATTTTCAGTAGATGTCTTATTGCAATTTACATACAGGTGATATTTTATGAAATTGATTAAGTAATCAACTTGGCTAAGTTTAATGACGTCATAATTGAAAAGAAAAATAATATTCCGCATTTTTAATTAAGCACCGCTTAATCTTAATACGATGTAATGTTAATATTCCGGGTATACACGGGGTGTTACAGGAGTGATTATTTTAACTGCGTCTAATATACATTTGGAGGTGATAATGCTTTAACCGCCTCTAAAGGTAGCAATTAGAGGCGATTTTAATATAATTGCCTCTGAATGGTAAATGGAGACGGTTATTTTAACTGCCTCTAGTACATATTTGGAGGTAGTTTCACGTTAACTGCCTCGAATCAATTAAACAGCCGAAAATAACGCCTCTATGTATCAAATGGAGGCAGTTTTCTTGTAAATACCCGTTTTCTTGTAGTGAGTGTTCTCTTAGCATCCTAACTTAGAGATAAAAACACCAAGTATCTCTTGTGTTTTATTTTGAGTGAGATGTATTTTCCTAATATATGAGAGAGTGATATTGTTCTCTCATTGTATTTAGAGATATGTTGTAATTTCTTTCACTCAGTGAAAATCTTTTTTGATCTTGTTCGTGGTTTTTCTCAAATGGGTTTTTCACGTAAATCTTGTATGTCTCTTCAATCGACATATTTGTTGATCTCTTGACTGTTGAAATTAAGATAAAGTTAATTACATTGTTGGTGTCTAGAAAAGTGGTTAAAAAAGATAACCTTAAATTCCGTCTTAGTCACCTTTGCGTAGCACAGAGAACTCCCATCGAATTTACGCTTATCTAACCAATTAGTGTGATTAATTGTGTCTTGAAATTATTATTTCTGTCAACTCTAATTTTGATTAATGGTGTCATACTCTATTACCTAACACACAAGATACTGTAAACCCTAATGCATTCAATGTTAGTATATGGATGTCCTAAAGACAATCTTTTGATTAGATTAGAACATATGTGGACCTTTTATATTGTTGCAAATAAAATAAAAGCACTATTTATCCTGTTTCATATTTTGTCTCAATATTATTGTTAATATTTTATATGAGTAACTGGATAAACCCCTTGGAATAGAACATGTATCTCTTGAGTATCTGTGATGAGATCACGATCATGAGGATTCAAGGATATCGCACGTTTATTCCTAATTTTATGTTCCTAGTTTAGAGACACTAAGAATGGGGATCAGTGATCTCGGGTAAGACTAGCACGACTTATCTACTTGTATTTGGATACAAGGTAAAGACCTCATCTGCTACAGATATGGAGATGTCTTAGCTAAAGTCGTGGGTGGACCTATAAGGGTATAACTCGCACTGAATAGACCCACAAAGAGACTCTATGAGGAAATCTCACAGAGAGTATCATTATAGTGGTCTCTTTATATTTGGGTATGTCTTTTCTTAGACCAGAAGTTATTACCTAGACTGTGTTCTAGAAGGCACGCTTTGACTGCATACCTCGTCTGCCTGAAACATGGAGACTCATAGGTACACTGTTGGGCTTGTCATGAAAGAGCACAAGGCTAGGGTGATAAGCTAAAGGAATTCGTCAAATCTCTGTGAGAGATTAGGTTATCTGTAAACCGGATAAATCGGGATGACATTTACAAGGACTCGGGAATCTATGCATAGTAAAAGAGGTCATGAGATGATCTACCGTTAGAGTCAGTAAATTGAAGATTCCCTATTTCGAATAAAGCTTACCCTAAACCGCAAGGCTTGATACGTTTCCTTACCCTAGGTTTAATGGGAAGGTAACCGAGACGAAAGGAAATACATACGGCAACAAAATATGTATAATAGGATGATCAAGTCATTAATCTAACTAGTTCTCGGGAAACAAAGCATTGCTAGTGCTCTGTGTTGTCATTAAATGTGTTGTGGGCTCTTTGGGCTCGAGCCCATTTATGTCAGTGGCTATGTTGGACCTAATGGGTCACACACTAACACCTTATTGTCATTATGATCTAGCATTAAAGGTATTGGGCCTAATAATGGTTGTTAGCCTAAGAAGAAGTTTGGAAGCCCACCTAAAAGGAAAAGGGCGCATGGATCATATAATGGGCTTGGATGGTCCAAGACATTACTAATTAATTTAATTAGTTAAATTAATTATCAAATATTTAAATTTTGAAATTTGAAATTTGAAATTTGAAATTTGAAATTTGAAATTTGAAATTTGAAATTTGAATTTGAATTTTGAATTTAGAATTTAAATTTAGAATTTGAATTTAGAATTTAAATGTTTGAACGTTTGAATTTAAATGTTTGAATTTGAATTTGAATTGACTATGAAAAGTTGTTTCATAACAAAAGGATAAGATAAGATCTTGTTGGAACAAATCCCTTGTATCAAGAGGAGATCTTTGGAGATCACCAAGGGCTGATTGGGGCGCTACTTTGGGTGGTTATCAGTGTCATCTAGTCAACCAAATAAGCTCCAATCAGATTTGGTTGGTTGAGAGAATCAGTGAGTGAGTTGGTTCAAATTTGAATACAACTGCTCAACGTATCTGGACCATTTCTGGGGCTGAAGGGGGCGCACATATGGCTGGCCATATGATGGCCATTAGATCAGAATTTTGATTAGGTTAAGACCTAGTCTCATGAGGATTCAAAGGTAGGTTGTTGGGAATTTTGAATTGCAACAACTCCACCTTTTTCTCCCTCTTTGTGCGCCACCTCAATCAGTTTTTTAAGTGAAAAATTTGATTCCATCATGACTCTCTTATCACACTCTTGTGCCCCAACTTGGGTAGGTTCTCCTTAGATTTTTTCACAAAACACGTAGCCAATTCTACTCCATTCTATGCGCCACTTATATGATGTTTTCTTGCTGAAAATATCACTCTTCTAAACACATTCACCTTACCTCCTCCTTCACCTATTGAGCGCATAGCAAGCCTCTTTGTGGTGATCAATTGGTGGTTCTTCAAGAAAGAGTTCTTGCATCTTGACGTGGGTGGTGTGGATCAACGTTAGAGGGTTTGAACCCTTCAAACCTGACATTGATCAACTTGGAGTTGGAATCAAAAACAAAGGTAACATCATGTTGTCTTAAAGCATGAATCTTGATTGCATGTGTGATTCCGCTTGAGAAAAAATTTTGTTTTTCCCTCTCACATGCATCGGCCTTCAAGGCCATTTTCTTTCGTTCAATGTGACTGCATCTGTCTTATTTCTATTTTCATGATATCCATCATGTTCTTTTTCTTTAACATTATTTTGCACACCGCCAACTTTCCCTATATACGTTTTATTTTCTTAAGACTTGTGTAAGCAATTAGACTAGACAAGTAAAATCTTTGGCTACTAGCATATTGCTCCCTCCTTTTTTTCCAACAAATTTTTCTTTTCTTATTGTAAATTCTTATTAAAAGAAAAGATTTTCCATTTTGCTTGATTTTTTAATAAGCTGCACCAAAATTTGGTGTTCACACTAACGATTTTAATTTATTATTATTATTATTACTATATATATATATATATATATATATATATATATATATATATATATATATATATATATATGTAACACCCTCCTTTGTATAAATCCAAGAGAGTTGTTTGCTAAGTGGATTAGAGACTTAACGTTAACGTGTGAAATTCTCGTTTAGTAAAAACTTTTTCATTTAATATCAATTAGAAAAGCTTGCTTAGACACTGACTTGGAGAAATAAAACAGCAAGAAAATTCAAAAAGGCTTTCGCTGCGAAACTCTGATTTTTCCCGAAAACGATCTGTCTTGAAAATATTATAAAAAAATCAGAGTACAAAAATTTACAAAAATATTCTTTGCTACTAAGAAACTAGACATCTGGGGCTTCGCGTACATATAAATTATACGCGAATCCGAGGTCTCTAGCCCCACGAAACAGAACTCGCAAATTCTTCAAAAATTCAGTGTATTTTCCAAAAACCTCCTAACTGGTAAAATTTATAATAATTCGGGTTTTCAAAATTTCATTGTAAGGGTTACATAATCTGAAAGTACACAGCTGGGGCTTTGCATCCATATAAAATATACCTCAATCAGAAGTCCGTAGCCCCAAAACGACAACTCGCAAAGTGCTCGCAAATCCGTTTAAAAATCAGCATATAATAAAATGTCCAGAGATTACTTTCGCACACATTTCAGAATTTTTCCAATGTTACCAACTGATCATAAAAGGTCTTAAAAACAGAAACAAAATCATAATCCAACTGTAATCCAAGCTACTCAATTGAATACAGTCATCCATCAAACATCAGCAACAACAATAGTCCATACAGCAGCAAATAACAGCAAATATCCAATTAAACATGTCTTCAAATGCTCTTCCGTCCTCCTGCCATTTTGTAAAAATAGCAGCCCCAAAGGGGTGAGAAAAATCTCAGTAGTGTGGCAACAAAACCAATAATGCAACGGTATTAAACTAGGCACAAAATTATAAACAGTCGCTACAAACATTAAATCCTTTTCATCATAGTTCATTTTCATCATATATCATATTGCGTATATAACGCCTTCTTCACGCTCATAGCACCGTCGTGCGCGTGCATACACAGTGGGAATTCCATGCAACGACACCCTCATTTATTGAATCCCACTGTGACCTATGCGGACGGATGCCAAGTGTCCCATACCCTGGTACCGAGGGATGCCTATATGATGCGTGCTCAATCACATGATCCTGTAGATAACTATTCTAGACTTCAAAGCTTGCATGACTTAGGTGTATAAATGCCATGAAATGCGGTCACACACCAAACAGAAAAATGCATCATGATGTAAAAATGCATGCACATATCATTATCATCATTTCATATTCTTACCATTGTCATATCATCATCATAAAATAACATTGAACATATGTGAGCAACACATCACAATTTCATACACTAGCTAATAGTCACATTAGGTAATACCGCCTAACACATACCTGGTATGCCACAATTATTTATTTAACTGCAGCAATACTCAGTCCACACTCAAGGATTATTCGTACCTAAGCAAGAGTGTAATTAAATCAGCATTTTACTCATACGATTCAACAATTCACAAACAACATGCCCTGCCTCCTAGTCCCTGTACTTATTCAGTTTATCATGCCACTTTTACTAAATCAAATTCTTGTTGCATATTCATTTCGTAACTCATTAACAGCAAAAGAACTCAAGGCTTCCAGTCTATATCAATTCGGTTTATTGGTTTCCTTTCCTAATAATTTTTTCTGACTTCAAGTGGTACTTACTAACTTGTTAACAGCGAAGGAGTTCAAGGTTTCTCAAGTCACATAAAATTGGTTTTCATCATTAAATTTCGTTAGGGATTTTTATTCTTATAATCCTATTATTCATATGCCATGTCCCTGTCTTCCCATTTATGAACTTCTTACTGATTTAATAACTAATTAACAGCGACGTAATCCAACATCTCCATCACATACCAGTTTGCTTTCTTAGCATAAAAAAATGCTCATGATGTAACTATCTACATAATCAATTCTACTAGGCCATTGATGCGCTAAGGGTTTTTTAACATGCTATTCAATTTAATTTACCACATGTAAAACTAGGCATGCAATAGAATCCTACAAAACAGTCCAATAAATTTTACTCTAGAGTTATTTTCCAAGCTCACTTTTTAGGGTCTTTGAGTTTCCAAGTACTATGTCTAAGTGAACAAAAATAAGAAAATGGGAATTGAAGAATGAATTAATTTCCCAAGGTGGTACAGTCACGGTTTTCTGGCTAACACTTAGGCTTCTAATTTCATTTATCAAACCATTACCTATAGTGCCTTGATTTCTCAACAGAATTAACACATGTAGGGCTGTATAGTTCTACTTCTAACTAATGGCAGTTTAACATTTAAATGGATGTGACTATCTTCACCAAATTCAGTTTTGGATTATCATATATCAACACCAAAAAGGGCGATTCCAAGGACAGAATTTATGCAAGGAAAATCATCAATATAAAGTGTCCTCCTAGTTAAACATGAGGTGCGCTATATGTGACCCTTACCCAAGCTGTCTACTCAAAATTACAGCATACAAAGTTACATCATTATTCTGCCCAAAAGGCAGTCCTAAGGCATGACAATTAATTCTTCCAATCCTAAAATAATTGTTTAAACATGTATCAACTCCTAGGCTGTACCAGTTAACAAATTTCAGAAAACGAAAGTGGCCAGCATCACTCATCCTCCTATTATACATGTATAGGCTGAACCATTAGTGAGTAGTTAATGGTTTAATTTTTATAGTTTACTCTTACTTGAGGTCATTCAGTTCTACGGCAGTCCAAGGCAGAAAACAGGGAATAGGATAGCAAAAACATGGTTCTCTTAAAGTTCATGTGGCAACCGTTTAGAGTAGCATGAAAGAATGACAAAAATTACATCCCCCTTAGTACATGGCAGGTCGAACAAGTAAGGAAACAAAAGGGAACTCTAGACTCAGATTTACCTCCATGAATACCCCCAAGATTAGCGCTTAAAGCAAGGACAGCAGCCTTCGTATCTCATTCTTCAAGGATTCGAACTCACAGCCGCATGCAATGGTGGTGCGACCCCATCAAGACAAAATCATATTCAAAAAAAATAAAGCTTACTCAACAATCGGTCCAAGGAGGGGGGGAAACAATAAAACAGCAAGAGTTACCTTACCTTCTCCTACTCAAGGTGGGGCTGTGCGCAAAAGAGGGGGAAAAAGGATGTTGAGCTTCAACCTCCTTGCTCAAGGTTACACGGCTGACCATAAACAAAAGGATGGATATACTTAACGTGTTGTTGTTTCCTTAGGAAGGTCACATTTTGAGAGAGGGATGAGGTAAGAAGGGAAAACAGCATTGGTTGTGCTTTCATCAAGGAAGCGATGGTTGAGAGAGGGCATGAGAGGGAAGCCGTTAATTCTGAATCAATTATGAACACTCCTCATGCTTGGGTGGTCCTTAGTTCTACGTATGGAAGGTAAGAAGTGTAGGTTTGGTCTGAGTTGGATTCCAAGGATTAAAGAAAGAAATCAGCTTGTTCCTCTTCCAAATGAGCGCATAAGAGAAATAGTGTAGACCAAAAATTCTGATTTCAAGGTGCAAGGAGAAAAGAATAAAATAATAAAATGATAAGATAACCTTTGGCCCTTATTGGGCGCTAGGGAGGTGAGGGCTTTCAATGACCAATGGGATTTCATGCAAGGGAATTTCTCCCTTCCTATTGGGTGCAAGGGCGGCTAGGGCATATTCCTTGGATCCAATCTATTATTTCGTAATGGCATCACTTACTGTAATTTATTAAATACTCTTTCATGTGCCTTCTAAATATTATATAAGATTTTCATAAGTTAGATTAAATTTATTCTACTCTTTTAGTAGAGCTTTGAATTCTCAAGATATATATATAAATATATATATATATATATATATATATATATATATATATATATAAGGTAGGATCCTTTGACACTGGTGTCAAATTTGAAATTTGACACCTCATTTGAGAGCCGTTAGATCAAAAAATATCAACGACACTGATTTGTAAGCATGTGATACTATTGATCTTTTTTTATCTAACGGCTCTAAGATGAGGTGTCAAACTTCAAATTTGACACTGGTGTCAAAGGATCCTACCTCTATATATATATATATTTGAAGTTTGACACCTCATCTTAGAGTCGTTAGATAAAAAAAGATCAACGACTCTGATTTGTAAGCATGTGGCTCTGTTGATATTTTTTGATCTAATGGCTCTCAGATAAGGAGTCAAATTTCAAATTTGACACTGGTGTTAAATGATCCAACCTCATATATATATATATATATATATATATATATATATATATATATATATATATATATATATATACTCACTTACAAATACAATTCAAATAATTTTCCTAACTTAATAATTTCCACTCTAATCGCAAATTAACTCGAAATTCAAGCAGGCTTCACATTCCTAATTGTAAGTTATGTACTTTTCCTAATTTTTTTGCGGGATATTACAATAAATTCAATGGCATAGTGGTTGTTGTCATTGAATTCCTCCTGTATGCTGTGTTCAAATCTTTCTAAGTGTCGTTGTTCATAATAAACATCTACCATCATGGAATTTATACTTTACGACGGTTAGTAACCGCCTTTAATTTCCAACTCTGCGTCGGTTTATAACTGTCGTTATTCGGAGTCGGTTTTAACCGTCGTTGAATAGTTGTATTCTGCGTCGTTTTATAACCGCCTCTGAAATCTTATACTGAGTCGGTTCTAACCGTCGTTGAATAGTGATATTCTGCGTCGGTTTATAACCGCCTCTGAAAGCCGACGTAGAATTGTGATATTCAATTACGGTTCAGTAGGACGTCGTAGTAACCGTCGTTGTTAGTTATTCAACGACGGTTGGCCCCTGACCGACGCGAATCATCAGTCGCAAAACACTCATTTTCTTAAAGTGAGGAGTCAAATTTCAAATTTGACACTGGTGTTAAATGATCCAACCTCATATATATATATATATATATATATATATATATATATATATATATATATATATATATATATATATACTCACTGACAAATACAATTCAAATAATTTTCCTAACTTAATAATTTCCACTCTAATCGCAAGTTAACTCGAAATTCAAGCAGGCTTCACATTCCTAATTGTAAGTTATGTACTTTTCCTAATTTTTTTGCGGGATATTACAATAAATTCAATGGCATAGTGGTTGTTGTCATTGAATTCCTCCTGTATGCTGTGTTCAAATCTTTCTAAGTGCCGTTGTTCATAATAAACATCTACCATCATGGAATTTATACTTTACGACGGTTAGTAACCGCCTTTAATTTCCAACTCTGCGTCGGTTTATAACTGTCGTTATTCGGAGTCGGTTTTAACCGTCGTTGAATAGTTGTATTCTGCGTCGTTTTATAACCGTCTCTGAAATCTTATACTGAGTCGGTTCTAACCGTCGTTGAATAGTGATATTCTGCGTCGGTTTATAACCGCCTCTGAAAGCCGACGTAGAATTGTGATATTCAATTACGGTTCAGTAGGACGTCGTAGTAACCGTCGTTGTTAGTTATTCAACAACGGTTGGCCCCTGACCGACGCGAATCATCAGTCGCAAAACACTCATTTTCTTGTAGTGAGAAGTCAAATTTCAAATTTGACACTGGTGTTAAATGATCCAACCTCATATATATATATATATATATATATATATATATATATATATATATATATATACTCACTTACAAATACAATTCAAATAATTTTCCTAACTTAATAATTTCCACTCTAATCGCAAATTAACTCGAAATTCAAGCAGGCTTCACATTCCTAATTGTAAGTTATGTACTTTTCCTAATTTTTTTGCGGGATGTTACATATATATATATATATATATATATATATATATATATGAAATGTTACATGTAGACAAATCAATAATTAAGATTTAATATATGATTTCTTATTTTTATACCGATGTAAGAAGATTGTCCTCCAAAAAAAAAAAAGAACTAAGCTCTTGGTTCAAAAGAATTTTGGTTCTTACAAAAAAATCTTAAAAATATAATAATGTTCTAACCCAAATGTAAGATTTCTAAATAATACAATTATCTAGAATTCCAAAAAAATTTAAAAAATGTTCTTAAAATAAAGTTGAATTTGATGACATGAATTCCTTCTTGCAAATAGCATGAATGCAAAATCAGAAACAGAAATGGAGAAAGACTTATTCTGCAAACGGACAATACCGCATAAGGAAATAATAACTCCCACGATTTAATACGTCTGACTCTTCTACTTTCAGTTGGTAGCGTAGCTTTTATAACTCTTCAATTCCGTCCTTTCTATGTGCTAGAATCAATTGATTTAATAAAATAGAAAAATCAAATCACGTGATCTCCTTTTTGTAATTTTTTTTTTTGCCTTTCTTCAGTTACAAAAATGACGCATTTCAAAGAAAAGAAATTCGTTTTTAAGTGGTACTAATTTTTGCTTTGTTTATTAATTTTTTTTAATCAAATTGTCAATTAAGAAAGAGAAAAGGAAAAGCGAACAAATTATTTGGGATCTGTTTGTGTTCTGATTTTTTTCTTAAAACATTGTTTTACAGAATAGTTATAGAAACAAGTATTTTTTGTATTTTATCTGTTTTGAAAGTTACAAATTAAAATACAAAATAAAAAGTAACTCAGTCATATTCTCTAAATTTGATTCTAAAAATAATAAAGTAGTTACAATTTTTAAAATTTTATTTACAAAATAAACCTTATCAAACGAGTTTATTTATTTATTTATTTTTATTCTGTAAACCAAAAACCTGATTTTAGAAATAGTATTCAAATTAATTTTGAAAAGACTTCTTGAGGTTATAAATATTAAAGCCACTGGTCATAGTTTCTTTTTTGGAAATAATAGGAAATTAAAACAAAAGCACAACAAAAAGAAACTAGGCACAAAGCCTAGACCAGTGAACACCTATAGTGTCACCATACAAACTATCAATACAACCTGACGGTGGACAATCAAATTCCTGAATTACCCAAGAGAAACCATAAGAGTAAGAGGCTAGAAAGTCCGCTACTCTATTTCCTTCACGGTGAATGTGAGACATATAAATCTGCCAATCTCGCTGCATCAAATTTCGAATACGATTCACCAAATTAGCCGCAGGGTAATCATGGTGGCACCCATTTGTAATGAGCTGTTGAGCTGAAAGAGAATCTCCTTCGAGCCAAACTTGCCTAAAACCTCTATCCCAAGCTAGCTCCAAACCAACCAAGCAAGCCCATAACTCAGCATGCAAAACTGTACCTGAGCCTAAATTTTTACAGAATCTGACGATCCAAGTTCCTGAGGCATCGCGAAAAACTCCTCCACACCCAGTCCTAGTACCATTAGCATCACATGCACCATCAACATTAAGCTTAACCCAATCCACAGGAGGACAACACCAAGCAACCAATCTCTCTATTCGATTCCTTGGTTGATTGCCCGCTCCAAAAACAGGGTTAGCTGCAAGAGCGACACTATCTCTGAAACCAATTGCTGAACGGATAAGTGAATAAGCATTCTGGCGATCACCTTCAAAAACCCAAGAATTCCTACATTTCCAAATTTTCCAGGCTAAGATTCCAAATAAAAGAGGCCAGTCCGACCCCATCCCCCAATCCTTTGAGCTGTCTAAATTAGAAATGATCCAATTGTGCAGGTTGAGGTTGAAAAATTCACGCTGATTTATATGAGGCATTATCATGCACCATACTTCCTTTGATTGTGGACAGTCGCGAATAGTATGAAGGATAGTTTCACTAGACTGATTACATCTAGGACACAGATCTGAAAGAGCCATATGACGGCGGAGTCTACAAACATTAGTCATCAGCTTCTCCCCTGCCATTAACCAAAGAAAAAAGCGAATTCTTTCTGGCCCCTGCCATCTCCAAACACTTTCCCAAGGAAACTGTTGGATTGTAGTATCTTTGATGGCTAATATTGCATATGCTGACTTAACAGTAAACTTGCCATATGTCGTTCCATTCCAAATTAAATGATCCTGGCCATCTTGACTAGAAGGAGGAAGAAAATTCATAAATCGATGCAGCACAGAATCTGGAAGCAATTGTCGAAGAGAATTCCATTTCCATTGCCCCAATTCATCCACGTAGTCCACCACCTTCTGAAGAGTATCACTAATAGAAAACTGAGAACCTGCATATGAGATCAAAGGACCACAATCGGGCAGCCAGCTATCAAGCCAGAACATAGTGGACTGACCATTGCCTAACTGCACCCGACTGGTCATAGTTTCTTGCAATGAATAAATAATGGGAACGAATCCACTTACCACACAAAAAGTTTATTACTCTTAATATTATAACCAATTTAATCACCGTTAATTTTCGTCAATTTAATGGTTATAATTTACTAGAAATTAATAACATTTATTGTGTCAGACTTATTAATTAATTATTAATTTTCAATAAATTATAACCGTTAGATTCACAGAAATCAATATTAATTAAATTGATTGTAAGAGTGATAAATTTTTTTGGTAGTAAATATATCCATGAATAATACCAAAGATTTTGCAAATCGGACTTTGACCTTGTAAATGCAAAAGACGATTGTGACCCCAATTAAGGATAATAACACGAAACAATGACAAGCACAAAACCGCGTTGTTCTTGCAATTAGGACAAAAATATGCTAGGTTGAACAAGGCTTTGTTTTAAATACTGGCTATCAGACCTTATTAAATGAGTTAAATTTATTAACCATTTAATTGCAGCTTAAGTGGTGAATAATAAGCTTGGTCGTTGGTTAAGTAGTTGAAGTGTCTTTTGAAAACGCATTGTTTGTCGGAAATCCGAATGGTTAGTGCCAAATAATCCAAGTGCTCATTTCTCTTATATATATATTAAATAGCAAGATTTCTTCTAAAAATTTACGGTACATGAAAGCATTTAAAAGCTGTGTTATAACACTCTAAACTTTTTTTAGACAAAGGGCAGTATTGACAAAAGGTTCTGTGGAACTTATATTTATAAAGAGTGGCAGTTCCTCCTGAAACATAACACTGAATAGCAATTAAAGCACAAGACTGAAACACAAAGAAGGGTCAAGAAGAATGGAAGAATCATCAACAGAGGAAGAGGAAAAGGTTGCTGAGAGGACTGCCACATTCTATCTTTACCATCCGTGCTATTTTCTTGAAGAAGCACTCAGAACTCTCTTCAAATGTCTAGGGTTTGAGATTGGATCTTCTATGGTTAAACCTATTTCAGATTCAGAAGAGGATCCTATAACCCCAGAAAACACTTCAAGCAACGACCAGAATTGTTCTCAAGAAGTTCCCACCATTACCGAAGAAACTGCACACCAGGAACCAACTACACAAAGCTTCGTAAGCTTCTCTCTCTTTTCAAATGGGAAGATTTTTTTATTTTTTTTAGTCTCTTGAGGACGAGCCTTGGAAGTCAAAGGCACAACTATGGGAGGGGAATGGATTGAAGGTCCACTTTTTTAAACTTCGAATTTTTTATTATTATTGGTATAGATAATTATTTTTATAATAATAATAATAAATTATTAATCCTTATAGTTATCCTTATTGTTAATAAATTATTAACTCTTTTATTAGATCTAATAATATTTATATTTTTAATTGATATTTGTTTTACGTCCCTGTTATAAAAAATTTTAAACCCGCTATTGAACTGAATAATCAACCCTTACCCTGGGGCAGTCTATGCATTCTGAGGCCGCTATTGAACTGAATAATCAATCCTTACCCCTACCGTCACGGGCAGTCTGTGCTTTGGAGTTTACTCTTTTTTTGGTAGTCTGTCACGGGCAGTCTATGCATTGGAGTTCACCTTTTTCTTTTTTCGTAGTTTGTTATCTATTTCCAATTCAGCTATGAACTATGTGTTTTCTTTTTCTGCAGAAACTTACTAGGCGTGATTCTCGAAGGTCAAAACTTACTCCAGGATCACCTCCTCAGACTAATTAATGCTTGGTGATCACGATTGCTCTATGATGTTATCGTCTAGTCTAAACAAAAGTCTCCATATGTTTGCTTTCTGTAGCTATTTCAGCCTCTCTCTCTTTTTTCTTTTTTTAGTGCGCCCAAGGGTATCCTCATCCTCTTTGCGGTGAGACCAATCCCAACAGTGCATTGTCAGTCCCTTGTGGGGTAACACTACCCAATCCGTTTTTCTTATACACAGGACTTGAACTCGAGACCATTGGTTAAGGAAACTCAGACACCTTCCATCTGAGCCAAAAGGTTTGGGTATCTCTCCTTTTTCTTTGAGTCAGTGCTTGTGTGAAAGAAAGTTGTATGTGAGTGGAAAGTAACTATCTATGCATCTATAGAAAGGTACCATGTAAATCCATATGAATGCCAAGCTTGTGCTTTGGTATTCTGCTACATAGAATAATACCAGTGCTTTGATTTCCTTTATCTCACTTCCTTTTGCACCATTTTTTATAGTACCGTCTTAAATTGCATATGAAGATGATGATTACAATAAGGACCAAGCTTCATATAAAAAATTAATAATCTTATCACGTTCCTATATAACCATAATTAATACTCATTTGTAATGTTTCAGAATTATGGTATATCACATTTATAGATAAAGAACGCACTGATTGCACTCAAAATAAATTAAACAAACTAATAGAGAAGGAATGATAATGGGCGAATTAAATGCACTTCTGCAGCTTCTCTATATATAGACTCTTTGGCACCTGATCAAAATAAATGTGTATCTGCCCCACACACACAAAAAAAAAAAACAAAAAAGACAAAAAAAAAGTTACCACGAGTTCCAATATTTTCCTATTCCAAGAAATATACATTTCAGGCATTGGGCGTCAGTCCAAATCAAATTGAATACTCGTTTGGCTGAAATAAATTGAACATTTTTGCTTAATGCAACTATCACTATTATTATGCCTATCAAACAGTGTTATTAAAATCGGACCGGAAACCGGCCCATCAACCGGTCCGATTTCAGTATTGGACTTTTTTTAAAATAAGTTACAAAATACTTCAATTTTTGCAGCAAGTGGGAATCAAACCCAACCCTTTGATGTGAGGAGTGCACCTTTGAACCACGCTATCATTACCAGTTAAATATAATGCACCGTTTAATATACTTATTATATAATTGCTAAGTTAATAGAATTATTTCAAATATTGCATCTAATAGGAATCGAACCCCATACATTGAGGATAGACAATATAATAATTACCACTAGATTACATCAGGTTATTGTTTGAATTGCACCATTTAAAATATTTATTATATAATTAAATATAAAATATAAATTTATATATATACCCGGTTCAACCGGTGACCCACCGGTTGAACCATTGACCCAGTGACCCGGTACCTCGACCGGGTCAATGACCGGTCCGGTTCTAATAACATTGCTATCAAATTTAATTACGAATACATAGTTAGGAAATTTTAATACAATTCAGTCAAAATTTATCAAAATTTAAATTTAACAAGACTGTATGTTAAATAAGTCAATGTTGACTCTGATAAAAAAAATTGACCAAATATTCTATTCCTATTTCTTGAATTGCAAGGTATTGAGTTTTTCAATCAAAGATTCAGTTGCTGAAATGACATCTCAGTTTCGAAGGCTCAAGAGTATTCAAATAAGTTACAAGCAATTAGAATCAAACACAAGACCCTGGAACCTTAAAATCCATGACTTTCCCTTATATTTTTGCATCCCTGCTTCTACCTGATATAGCACATATTTTGTAGAAAATTAACTAGTGAAGCACTTTTCTGAATTTTCCCAAATTCAAATTTTTGAACCTAATCAAACATGTCCCCAGGTGTATAAACTATTGGTCCCAGATGAACTCAAGAGAGGGTGAATTGAGTTTATAAAATTTTCGCCTCCTTTTAAAAACAAAACCAGATTTCGAAAGATAATAAATAGAAAATAAAGCATGTCAAAATCACACAACAATTTACGTGGGAAAACCTCCTTGGCTCAAGAGGAGTAAAAACCCACGGCACCAATCTAGATAAACTCTCCAATTGGTCAAAATTACTTCACTAAAAGAGCCAAAAACAATAGTACAAGATTAGCCCTACACTACCCTTATACAATTCACACCCAAATCTGAATGACTACTCAGCCACCCAAATGACACTTCACCAATAACTCACCTTCTGTCAACTCAGACAGAATCAATCACTCACGCACAATAGCTTAACTCTAAGCTAACAAAAAGATTTAATGATAGAAATACCATGTGCTTCTTGAATAAGCAGATAAGTAATTTGAATTCTTATGGAGAAATACTCACTTTGCCAAAGGATGAATGTATGAATGAATGTTCTTGAGAAAGCTCTTCAATTGATGCACAAGAAAGAATCCTAATCTTGAAAATCTAATTCTCTATTTTCTTTCTAGTGTTTTCTCCTCAATGAATATTATATTTTCTCCACACCTGAATAATATGCAATGAGCCCTATTTATAATAATAACATTTTCTCTTTCCTAAAAGCTCAAAAGGTATAATATTTAAATTTAAAGTCTTTTCCAAAATCTAATCAGAAATCTTTTACTCTTGAATGAAATTTTAAATGCAATTTTCAAAAATAAGATTTCTGATTTTTTCAAATGAAAGATATGTAAACCTTAAATATCTTATTCTATCATGCAATGCAATCCTAATCTAAATCTTTGGCAAAAAATATTTTATTTCTCTTTTGCATGAAATCTAAAAAGATAAAATCTATCCTAATCTTTACTTGATTCCATGATTTTCTCTCTCTTCATGATATCTTCCATATCTTCTCCAATCTTCATGCAATCTTCAATTATCTTGAATACTAATTCAAATAAGAGTAAATAGTATTATGAAATCTCAAACAATCAGCTCATTAGTAATTTCAAGACAATAAAATATTATCAATTAAATCAACATTTAATTGATTGTAATCATCAAAACATATTTTAAATCAACTAAACAATTGGGGTATAACAAATATCCAACAATTTCTCTCTTTTTGATGATGACAAAATATTTATGCCATGTACCAAGAAAAGTTAATTCATCACAAATATAACATGAATGCTCAATGATGATTGCATGAACAATATTCCCCCTAACTTATTCCCCCTGACTTTATTAAGCTACAACTAAATTATTATTCACAAAATATGACATCCATTTTCCCCCTTTTGGCATCATCGAAAAGATGACGAGTAAACACTTAAGATAAGGAAGAAAAGCTGTCAAGGTAGCATGAATAAGGAATAATAGTGGAAATAATGAAAAACAGTGAAGAATAAGAATATAGAAAATGATGAAAGGCAACAAAGAAAAACACTCCAAAGCATATACAATAACAATGCAGTAATTTGCCTTTGCACTCAACTTTAGAATCACTCTTATTTCTTATTCTCTAAGCTTTCCATAGGCTTGTACCTCATGACTGCTCTCCACTCTTAGTGTGGGAATGTTTCATAAGCCACCAAATCAATAGGACTTTAAAGCATGTAATGTAACAAGTGGATATGAACAAATATAAAATAGTATCAAGGTAGGTAGAAAATAAAGAAGGGATAGTACAGTTATGCATAGTCCCTAAACCTTATCTTTTGATATTCTCAATACTATTTCCCATTATGAAGATATCTTTTCCTTTTTCTACTTTTCTATGTTTCCATTTTCATATGACAAACACTCAAAAACATAGTTTTTTACTTTGAAACTCAAATGAAACTTGTTCCCCCTGAATTTGATATTTCCTTTTTTTTATTCCTTTTTCTTTTTTCTTTTTCTCATCCTCACTTTTTCAGTTTTCTTTCTTTTTGTCATTCACATTCTTTTTCTTTCTTCTTTCTCCCATCCTCACTTTTGCAGTTTTCTTTCTTGTCATTCACATTCTTTTTCATTTTCTTTGCCTCATCCCCCTTCATTTTCCTTTTCTTTTTCGTTTTCTCATTCCCCATATGTACTTTTCTTTTGTACTTTGACAATTCATCCACTCAATCTAGAACCTATGCATACCCATACAAAAAAGGTTTGTAATAATTAAAACACAAAGGGCTGCATATGAGATTTAATCAACAAAAAATAGGCTGAAGGCTCAAATGGGGTAACTAGGGATAAAAATTACTGTTAAGGTTGACTTGAAAAGCTCAAACGACCAAAGAAGGCCTATATCCTTTTGAGTTACTCATGAATCATCCTAATTAGCGAGCCTTGAGATTCATTCATACAAGTTCTAGATTGCTTCCTCACAAAGAAAATCACACATAGATATATATATCCTCACAAACATGGCAAACAACCACAAAGTTAAAGCATACACTTCAGAATGCATGTAACAAGAAATAATGTGAAGTGAATGGTGAGGAAAATACAATTGAATAGGTTAACAAATATCAAGAGTGCTTTATCTATCATCAAAACTAGCCAATTATTTGGGGAAGGAAAAAATCTCAATCAAAATTTTTGTTTTTGTTTTTATATTTTAGTATCTCAAGCTTCCCAACAAAGTATAGATCACTGAAATTGGAGTTCTACAACTCAAGATATAACCAGTTAAAGTATGCTATCTAAAAACAGAGTAATCTACATTCCAGTCACGTTGAGAGATCAACTAAGAATATTATACACATCCAAAAATTCTGAAATTTTTCAGTCTTAAAGCTTATTAAATCAGTTTTTCAATGCCATTGGTTTCATGCAAAAAGGATTTGTATAACTCATGTTATGACTGTTTAAAGTTAACTAGTTCAAAACAGAATTTAGAACTCAGTACTTACTTTCTCGAAATTTCTGGGAACAGAGAGGTTAAGAAAAAATTATAAAAATATCCAGAATCAAACTTCATCATCTTAGCTTTCAATATCAACTGGTTTGATCAAAGAATTATTTTTCTAGCTCAAGTTATGATGAAATTAGCTCAACAATGTCAAAATTCAGCACATTAGCAAACACATATGATTAAGTTGATATACTACCAATGTTATGATCATGAAAAAATGATTTTCAACTTAACATTATGCCTTAATCCCTTGACATAATAAACATTTTCAAAGGAGTGTGTAGGTTACTTACCAACTTTACTTGTGCTCATAATTTTACCTTTGTACTTGTCAGCAAAAGTTACACATCCATTTTGAAATGGTTTGAGTGAGAGAAATTTGAAAATATCTCTTGTCATATTCTTAGAACAACTATCAACTATTGTCAAGATACTATGAGTTGTTCTCCCTCACTCCAACCTGCATTCTTAAATCAATGATTAGATTTGGGAACCCAGACTAGCTTGGGTCCTTTTATCTTTGTAACAAAATTAGAAAGTACATCTTTTCTAATCCATATTTGTTTTACTTTGCATGTAAAAATAGAATTTTTATTTTTAATGTATGAGATATTCTTTTCATAAGC